AAAAGAAACTTATTGTATTTTAGCATGCATATTTCTGAAATATGAGGTATACAGGTTTTGATTAGTGATGAAATAGTTTTTGGAACAATTCTGATTAATAGAGGGACTCTGCAAAATCACATCATTGGAAGGGAGCTGTTCTGAGTGCAGCACAGCTGAATGTCAAGCCTGGTGAAAACCGAGAAAGAAAAACACAGAATGGGGCTGATATACCTCAAGTGCAACACGACAGGTCACAAGCTGGGAGACCAAGAGTCTCGACACCTCACCAAGATTGAGGGGTGGTCAGAGTGGGATCGTTCTATCAAGTGTGTTTTATTACTACAGAACTTAACTCGCATTGATCATGGCAACGTGGGTGCCCAGTGCCACAATGATCACGTCCAAGGAACTCCATCGCTGCCCCTCCTTTGCTCTCACCACCACAGGAAAATATTCCAACAGGACAACATCCCTCGTGCTGCTTGTGTCGCAGTGGCTTTCTTGAGAGACAAGAAGGTGACCGCCGTGCTGCAGATGCCCTACACACTAAGCCTGAGCACATTAGCAGTGGGATGAGCTAGGGCAACCTTTGCCATGCAGACTCAGGAGATTCACCGAAGACTGCTTGTCCAGGCTCTAGGGAGGATCCCACAAGACAACCTCTGCAAAGTGATACATGGCAGATGTAAAGTTTGCAATGCTCCAAACAGTGGCCACACATATCACTGCTTTGTAACTTTCACAGCACATCTAAGGAGAGATGTCAGACATAATGAATAGAATTAATGTAATGATCATATCTGATAAAATGCCAGTGCAAGTTGTTTTTGCTCTCCTGATCAAATATGTGTTGTAGTTTTTTTCTTCTGTATATAATTGCAGTATTGTGTATTTTTTCTGTACTCCACTAAAATTGTCTTATGTAGGCATTTTTAGAATCTTGATTGTGTGTGGAAGTTACTTGAGCTGTCACACTTCATGTGATCCCCCATTGCAGTTGCTACACTTCACTGGAAGATGGCTTCTCCTCACTGTTTCTTATGAACCTGGGTTGAAGGCAACATTGTCA